CCCTTGGGGGTTCTGGGACTGCTGGGAGGAGCAAAAAGGAGTTTAGGATGGTTGAGGGAAAACAAGAGAAGGATTTGGAACTTAACCAGCACTAACTATTAGCTTTGGCCCCCAAGTCTCACCTCTTGACGACTGTACTAGTAATGGTTGAGTCATGGTAGGGATGTGCAGCCCTGCCCTCAGCCTGTGCAAGACAGGCCCGATCCAGCAATTAGCTACTGAATGATCAAAGCATGATGTGACATGAGCTGCTGATCTCCCTGCCACGCCACACGCCCCACTGCCAATTCATCCTTCCACCATGTCCGGCATGCTGTACGTTTTCCTTTTTAGTTCTGTAAGCTTTGGGGCTCCCAGTCTCTCCATTTTGCCTGAAATGGCCCATGTTTCAATTGTATCTGCTTCCTCTAAATCTGCTCATCATTTTTTCTGTGTTAGGTTGGGCTCAACTTTGAGAGTAAAAAAATCTTTTGTTTTTTTTTGTTTTGTTTTGTTTTGTTTTAGTTGGAGTCTCACTCTGTCACCCAGACTGGAGTGCAGTGGCCACTCCCGGCCACCGCAGCCTCGACCTGCTGGGCTCCGGCGATCCTTCCGCCTCAGCCTCCAAGTAGCTGGAACTACAGGCGCGTGCTACCATGCCCGGCTAATTTTTTTGATTTATTGTAGAGATGAGGTCTTGCCGAGTTGGTACCCTGCCCCAGTAGCCACCAACTTTCGGGAAGATTCAGGCATTGCTGTGGTTTCTTTGAGAGACAGTTGCTGTCATGGGTACAGGAATTTCTTCCATGCTGATATCTCATGGGGATGGCTCAGAACTGGGGGTGAAGGGTTCTTGAGGTTTCTAGGTGCCTCCCACCCACTCTGTGACCTTGGGCAAGTAAGTACCCTTCCATCTTGGCACCAGTTTTCTCAGGGCATGGCCTAGATGGCTCTATGATGTACATATGCAGATGGCCAATCTCATTCATGTTCTGCGTAAATAGGGCGCCATCTCTTAGAATTCCAAGATTCTGTAAAACCAGCATGACCATCGAGGGACTTTGGTCTGCTACCTTGGAACCTGGATTCCTAATTCTGACCTTACTTTTCACTTCTCCCCCAGCAGCTCCAGGTTTTTTTCTTTTCTTTTTTTTTTTTGAGTTGGCATCTCACTCCTTCGCCCAAGCTGTAGTGCAGTGGCACGCATGCTCACAGCCACCCCAGGGTCGACCTTCTGCTCTTCAGCGATCCTTCCACCTCAGCCTTCCGAGTAGCTGGAACGACAGACATGTGCTACCACGCCCGGCTATTTTTAATTTTATTGTAGAGATGAGGTCTCACCAAGTTGCCTAGGCTGGTTTTCAACCCATGGACTCAGGCAATCCACATGCCTTGGCCTTCCAAAGTGCTGGGATTACAGGCTGAGCCACTGAACCCAGCCAGGTTTTTTTCATTAAAACCCATTATGCATGATCTTGTGTGGAGCTGGGGTGGACAGGTCCTACAGTTCTGTGAAGATTTCTAAAATGAATTGTTCCCTGTACTTTGTCATCTCTGACAGATAATACTCACACATGGGTGGTAAGTGATCGGAGATCTCAGAGGGACGCAAACCAAATCTTCTCTGACTGTTCAGAGGAGAGAGGGAACATTTCTGGAAGATTCCTGAAGAAGGTAGCACTGAACCTTGAAGGATGGAGGGGGCTGGTGATAGATGGTTGAGCAGGAAGGACGTCCTGGTGAAGGGAACAGTATGGGCAGGGTCAGGAAGTGGGAGCATGTGGGTACCATCCACAGAGTGGGTGGGTTCATTTACCAAAAGGAGAATGAAACATTTCTGTGCATTACTTACTTCTTGGCTAGATGTTATCCTTATCATCATATGTTTAATAGTATAATAATACATATTTAAATCACTCTATAACCTTCCCTTAGCTAAACAGGAATTATTCTCAGTCTAATTTGGGGCTGGGCTGGTGTGTCAGGGAAAAGGCTCAGAACTGCGGTTGAGGGTTCTCAGGTTTCTAGGTGCCATCCACCCACTCTGTAAAGTATCCTCCTCTTGGCCTCAGTTTTCTGAGTGAGAACGGCCCAGGTGGGCCTATGATATACACATGTAGTGGGGTATTATTCTTATCCACGTCCTGTGCGAACAGGCACAGTCGCCTCAAGAAAAGATATTGCTTCTGTTGACTCTCTTTTTGTACCTTTTGCTTCCTTGTCCCTCTGTCCATTCCCCTTCATTGTGGTATCCTGCCCCCCCTGGCCACCACCCTTTCTACCCTTTTCCCTCAGGGTCTTGGGACAGAACTAGAGGGACCAGTTTTCTCCTCCTTTCAAATTCTCTGCTGCTGGAACAGACCTCCTGGGTACAGATCTTTCCAGAGGGATCTTCTGGAGACCATGACCCTGTCAAATACAAGGAGAGACTGGCACTTGCTGACAGACTGGCCAGAGGCAGGCAGGCTGGTGATAGAGATGGAGTTTGGGAAGTGGCAGCTTAGGCCAGCCTTCCCTTGGGCCCAGGGCTCCAGAGAGGGCCCCAGCCGGGCCCCTTACAGTCTTTGCATTCAGGAGCCGGCTGCCTGTTTGTTCTTAGTTGAAAAGACTTCCTGCAAAGTTCACTCTGCCCCCAGACTCCCAGATTTACGCCCCCCCCCCAAGTGTTGGGCCCTTCTGCCAACCCTCACAATCCAGCAGTGTGAGAGGCGAGTTTAAAACAGGGAGACCCTCCTTTCCCTAAGTCTCCATGAAATGGTCCCATTATCTGCACAGAGACACCAGGCCTCAGGGACTTCTCAAGACAGGTGGCCTGGGGCTTTGGCTGTCCTGTAAGAAGCCTGGCCCCTCAGCATCTGACAGAGCTTAGTAAGACCTGAGACCAGCCTACAGCACCAGAAGCAGAAAAGCAGGTCCTAACTTCCTTCAGTCCTGGGGCCTCAGACTTGTCTTCAGGAACTTTGGGTTTAGTTCTTTCTCTACTCATGCCCTTTGCCAAGATCAGGGCTCTCTGGAATTCATTCTTTTGGCAGAAGGGCTCCCTTTGATGACCATGTCAAATGAGATGGAATCTGGCCAGGTTGTTATAGGAACTCAGGAGGATCCCTGGAGTGGGAAACATAATGAGAACACGGGGCCATTCACCATTCAAGCGTTGGAAAGTAGAGCATTCATTGTCTAGTCTGCAGAGGCTGAGGCAGTGGGAGGAAGCAGGCCTAAGGCTGGGGGTCCTGCAGCATCACTAGGAGACTTTGGGGTATGTGGTGGGGTTTGCAGGGCAAGGGTCTGACTAGACTCTGGGTTCAAATAAGAAATCACCCACTTACTGTTTGTGTGACCTTAAGTGAGTTAAAACAACACGATTCAGGTTTGTTGAAAAACAAATGTATTAAGTCTAGAAAGAAAAATCATCCTCACTTTTTGTTTTGGCTATCTCAGTGGTATGTTTATAGGTGATTTAAAATTATTATTATTTTTTAATGCTTTTTAATTCTTTCTGATGTTTTCTTTAAACAGCATGGATTACTTGTATAATGCGGGAAGGGACATGGGGACAACCACAGAGCTATCTCCACTTTGGAAATGAACTCTTTCTGGGAAGGGGCTCTTTGGAGTCTAGGGACTGATAGCCATACTTTTGAAAGGGGAGGGACAGTACTTTTCACCCTTTAGTCCGTTCCAAGTAAGACAAGTTTTCCTGGCCCCCCTGTGGTTCTGCTGTGGGCCAGACCTGGGTAAAGAAGGTGCCGGCCACAGGTGCATCACATACAGGCCTGATGGGTCAAAGGTGGCCTGGCAGGTGTGTCTGGGTTGGTGGTTATTATAGCTGCTGTAGTACAGGAGGTGACTGTTCATCTCCCACCCAGGAAGCCAGCTCAGCAAAGCCTCAGTAAACCTCCCTGGGCTGCATCCTTCCTTTGGGCTTATGTTGAAGTCTCTGTACCCCCATCCCTAGCCAACCTCGTCCCTCTATCAAAAGGAGAGCAGGGTGAAGCCATGGGTTTCTTCCCCTATGTTGGACATCCCTGATGTCTGGGTCTCTCATCTGGATCCAGATGCGAGCTACCTTCATTTTTTTTTTTTTTGAGTCAAAGTCTTACTCTGTCACCCAGGCTGGAGTGCAGTGACACAATCACAGCTCACCACAGCTTATGATATAACATTAAGATTAAAGTTCCTTCTGACACCCCTTGCCTAGTCTGGGCCCTTTCCTGCTACCCTGAGGTAACCAATGCCACTCATTTAAAGGGTTTCCTTCTAGAGCTTTTAAAATGCATTTGCTTACACATACACATATTCACATAGAGAATATTGTTTTATATATGTGTGTGTTGTTTGTTTGGTACAACAAAATAGCATCATACTGCTTGGCAATCTGCTTTCTCACACCACAAAGTATCTTGGAGATATGGCCACAGAATCACATATAGCTCTATGTCACTTCTTCAACTTCTGAATAATGCTCTGTAGTATTATTATACCACCGTCGTTCAGCCAGCTCCCTATGGAGGGATATTTAGGTGGTGTCTTCCTTTTTATTTATTTTTATTTATTTATTTATTTATTTATTTATTTTTGAGTTGGAGTCTCACTCTGTCGCCCAGACTGGAGTACAGTGGCACACGCCCGGCCACTGCAGCCTCGCCTCGACCTTCTGGGCTCAGGCGATCCTTCCACTTCCGCCTTCCAAGTAGTTGGAACTACAGGCGTTCGTTACCATGCCTGGCTAATTTTTGATTTATTGTAGAGACAAGGTCTTGCCAAGTTGCCTGGGTGGGTCTCAAACCCATGGGCTCAGGCAATCCACTTGCCTCGGCCTCCCTAAGTGCTGGGATTACAGACTGAGTCACCAAGCCCGGCCTTGGTTTTTACTTTATGTGTGTCCCATGAACTGAGGGCAGGCTCAAAGCTTTGTACATTATAAATACTGTTGGTATTTGATATTGCTCTTATTCCACAGGGAAAGATTTGCAAGAGCCCTGGGTCTGTGCCTCTCAATATCTCTTTTTTTCCCCTTGCAGAGACGTCTCAGGGAGGCTGTGCAGCTACTGGAGGACTACAAGCATGGGACCCTGCGCCCGGGGGTCACCAATGAACAGGTAACGCTGTTGGAGGGGGAGTGTGGTATGTGGGGAGGGGAAGAAAGGTGGTAAATCCACAACCTCTTCCCTACAGCCAGAACCACTTCTCTTTTCTTCGGTATCTACTTCTGCTACTACATACCCTGCAGTCTTCTAGCTCTTTGGAGGCGATGCTGAGATCTCTTCCATATTCTAGATCTGGTGGGAAGCATAGAGTTGATTAGGCTAGAGAGGCCTAAAGGTGGTGTTTGGTGAAGCTGGCTTGCATTGGCTTGCAAGAGTTGATCATAGGCATCTCTTCCCAATTCTGCATTCAGTGACATCACAGCTTGAAGTCAGTCATGATGGGAGTATTTACACCATGGAAACTGGCAAATGCTGCAAATCAGGGCTTTTCCTGCAGAAAACCAGTTATTAAACATTTACTCACATACCACTGCCCAAAAATTCAGGTTAAGGGTGGGAAGGATGGGAGAGAGTGGTGAGGATTAGGCTAGGATACTGTAAGTTTGTTTTTTTTATATCATGTAGGAACTTGAATTAGAGCTAATTGAAATGTTGAGAGTTGTGTTTGGTTTTGGGGAGGGCAGGGTAATGTAGTATATAGAACAACTTTAATGATTACAGACACTAATGCTTAATGTGCTAAAGTCTTTTTGTTTATAAACTTTATTTCAATAAATTTTTCAAATTTAACAATTTTTAAAATAGCGTGCATAATTCAAAGAGTCAGATAGTACTAAAGCCGTTGTAAGGAAAAATAGTATGCTACCCATCCCGCTCCAATTCTCATTCCTGTTTCCCAAGAGACTAGCTTTTCTTCAGATACACATCTATCTGTCTATCTATCTATCTATCTATCTATCTATCTATCTATCTATCTATCTATCTATCTATTTTTTTGAGTTGGAGTCTCACTCTGTCACCCAGACTGCAGTGCAGTGGCACTTTCCCGGCCACTGCAGCTTCGACCTGCTGGGCTCCGGTGATCCTTCTACCTCAGCCTTCCAAGTAGCCAGAACTACAGGCGCCCACTACCACGCCTGGCTAATTTTTTTTTTTTTTTAATTTATTGTAGAGACAAGATCTCACCAAGTTGCCCGGGTGGGTCTCGAACCCATGAGCTCAGACAATCCACTCGCCTTGGCCTCCCAAAGTGCTGGGATTACAGGCTGAGCCACCGAGCCTGGCCCACATCTATATTTCAAACTAATATGCTTATCTGTACTGCTATTTCTCAATTAGTTCTTTTGTATTCTATATTATGGTAGTTGAGATTCAGTTCTTTTATTATCTATCCCTATAAATACACTTCTTTCCCCCACCCTCATCTTTTCCCCAAATAGTTAACATTGTTTTAGGGCTTATAAATATTCAGTATTCATGTTTTTACAATCATATCAACAATATTTGCTGCATAGTCAAGTTGATTGTGTCATGATTATGTTTCTTCTATTTTTCAGCTTTATGTTTTATCTGAAGTTAATACCTACTTCATTTTTGTTGCTTGGCATAGTTTCCTTTGTACCATCTCTAGCTCTTACTACATCCTTTAGCAGCCTTTCAATACAGTCATGCACTGTTTAACGATATTTTGATCAACAACAGACCACATATACAATGATGGTCCCATATGATTATAATGGAACTGAAAAATTCCTATCACCTAGTAACATCTTGATGATCCTGACCCTGTGCAGCCTAGGATAATGTGCATGTTTGTGTCTTATTTTTTAGCTAGTTTTAAGAATTTGAAAAGTTAAAAAAAATTAAATAGAAAATGTGTAGAAAAGGGGATAAAGAAGGAAAATATTTTGTGTAACTGTACAATGTATTTGTGTATTAAGCTAAGCATTATTATAAAGGAGTCAAAAAAGTTTAGAAAATTTAAGTGTTTATAAAGTAAAAAAGTTATGGTACGCTAAGATAAATTTATTACTGAAGAAAGAAAACTTTTTGTAATAAATTTAGTGTAGCCTATGTGTGCACTGTTTATAAATCTTACAGTAGTATACAGTAATGTCCTAGGTCTTCACATTCATTCACCACTCACTCACTGACTCACCTAGGACAACTTTTAGTCCTGTAAGCTCCATTCATGGTAAGTGCCCTAGACAGGTGTGCCATTTTTTATCTTTGATACCATATTTTTGACTGTACCATTTCTATGTTTAGATATGTAAAGATGCACAAATACCTACCACTGTGTTACAATTGCCTACAGCATTCAATACAGTAATGTGCTATACAAGTTTGTAGTCTGGGAGCAACAGGCTAGACCATATAACCCAGGTGTGTAGTAGGCTTTCCATCTAGGTTTGTGTAAGTATACTTTATGATGTTCACACAACAATGAAACTGCTTAGTGATCCATTTCTCATAACGAATCCCTGTCATTAAGTGACACATGACTAGATTTGCAGTGTCTCCTTTCAACCTAAAGACTGTCTTTTGCTTCCTTCCCCTACCCCCCCTGAAGTTTCCCTTTCTGGGGTCTACCTCCCAGCTCCAGGTCTTCCTTTTCTTGATATTTACTGTAGTTTTGGTGGAATACCTCTTCCGGTAGCTTCCTGAAAAAGGGTAAATGGAAAGAAAGTTTTGAGTCTTTTTATGTCTGTAAAATTATAATTCTGCACTCAGCCTTAATTGACAGTTTGGCTGAGGAGAAAATTCTAGGTTGACAATCATTTTTCTTCAGATTTTTGAAGACCATTGCGCTATTTTCTTCTGGGTTCCAATATAGCTGTTGAAAAACCTGATGCCATTTCATTCCTGATTCTTTGCAAGTGGCCTGTTTTCTTTTTTTGGAAATATTTAGGATCTTCTCTTTATCTGTGAAATTTATTTCTGAAATTCCACAATGCTGTGTCTCTTAAAATTCATTATTTTGGATTCTTGGTGACCCCTTTCAGTCGGACGACTCCTGTCTTTCAATTCTGGGAAAATTTTTTTTTTTTTTGAGTTAGAGTCTCACTCTATTGCCCAGGTTGAATGGAGTGCATTGGCATGCTCACGGCCACCACAGCCTCAACCTGCTGGGCTCAGGTGATCCTTCCACCTCAGCCTTCCAAGTAGCTGGAACTACAGGCATGTGCGACCATGCCTGGATAATTTTTTGATTTTTATTGAATAGATGAGGTCTCATCAAATTGCCCAGGCTGGTCTTGAACCCGTGGGCTCAGGCAGTCCTCTCACCTCGGCCTCCCAAAGAGCTGGGATTATAGGCATGAGCCACTACAACCAGCCAGGAAATTTTTTAATACTTTAAAAAAAAAATAATTTCTTCTCATTCTGGGAACTCCTATTAGTCAAATATTGGACATCTTAGACTGACACTCAGATTTTCTTATCTTTTTTTTTTCTGATCACAACAGCCCATCTGTGTGGCTAGGGCCTGGGGGATACAGCGAGGAAGAGGTGGGATGAGGTTCTTGCCTCAGCCCCCCCCCCCCAGAAACCAGGCAGTGACAAGGGTACTTTGGGAGAGTCACAGAAGGGGTCATCTGCCCAGAGTCAGGGCATCTGGATGTGAAATACGAGAAGGCTAGTGAGGAGGGTCTGTGAGTAGGAGTGAGTGGTCCAGGCAAGGAAGCATGTTGCACTGGAGGGAGAGAGAGCAAGCCCCTGCAGAGGGAGTGAGCAAGGCAAATGTGCTAGACTGTAGCCTGGCAATATGATGGGTGGGCCAGTACATGAGTGAATGCAGCCCCTTTGCCAGATGCTCTCGTACTGGGCCCTGGGGAAGAGATGAGACACAGTGCAGTACCTGCACATGCAGGGCCCATCTTGAGGTGTCTGCACTGCATACTGAGTCATGGGCAGCCATCAGTAGCAAGGGCAGGATGCAATCTCTCACTCCCGAGCAGCACTACCTCTCTCTGGCCATAGACACCCAAGAACTGGATGGCATAACCCGACACCCTACCCGTCTCTAGACTACAGTAGTCCTGAGACCCTTTGCACATTCTCGGACCCGTCAGCCTCCAAGCCCTTCCTGACCCTGTGTCTGCTTCTGGCCCAAGCTTCCCTCTGCCCTATTCTTGCTGAAGTTGGCCTCTGGGGACCCCTTCCAGCTCCCAGAGTTTGGGGAATGAGGCCACATTTCCTCCTCTTTGCTCTCTTCAGTAGCTTAAAGCTGCCTGTCCTGTTTCCCTAGCCTTCTTTGTTTTCTGTCCTGAGAGCCCCCATGTGCCTCCAGGGAGCTGGAAAGGAGGGGAACTGTGAGGACGGCTTGGCACTAGCTGTGCTTCTCGATTCTGGCTCATGTTGGTGATGCCTGCAGTGTCCATCTGGTGGCTGGGTAGCATAGTGCTCTAGGTGTGAGCCCCCTAGAGGCAGATCCTCCCTTTCCCCATTCTCCAGGCTCCCCGGATCACCAGGGATTGGGCTCTTACTCAGCTCTCACAGTGCTTTCCTCCTGGGCCTCAGTCAGCAAATCCATACCCTCCTCTGGCCTCTTCAGACACAGCAGAGGGGGTGGATGATGGCCTGCTAGCTCTGGATTTGGGGGATATCAGTGATCTGGAATTAAGGACAGTCACTGTTGCTGGCCTAGGCTGGAGCCTTGCTCATCTTGATCTCAGTCTGGACAGCAGCTTTGCCTGCATCTGGGCTCTGTGCCTGCTCTGATGTCCTTTCACAGGTGTGTGTGTCAAAGACCTGTAGCTGGGTCCTGATGCCTTTGGGTCTGTTCTGGTGTTATGGGCAGTGCTGGGTAACCTGTGATGCTTTCTTTTACTACTCAATTTGTCATCTAACCTGCCTCCGGCTACTACACCTCAACAGTGAGTATGCACAAGTATATCACAATGTGTTCACTCCTGATGGCCTTGGTTTGGTCTTCCGTTAGTGGGTGGTTGATGTCTCCTCCAGAGACCATTACCTTGTTAAGAGGTTGCTGTCTCAATGAGTTATTGGTCCAGAGGATATAATACAAAGCTAGCTAGCTATTTTCTAGCTAGCATTTGAGCTTAACTAAAAATTTGATGTGCTAGCAACCCTATTAAGAACTGTAGCTA